TATTAAAAAAGGGTTTGGGAAGAAGAAAATGTATGTTTCTATAGTTACATACATACATATACATATATAGATACACATATAATCACACATACATACATATACACACACACACATACACATACACACGCACACACATACACACACACACATACACACACACACACACACACACACACACACACACACACACACACACACACACTACTAATGTATTATCGTCACCTCACCTGTGTAGTGTAGGGAGGTGGTGAGGGCGGAGGTGGAGGGCTGCTGCTCCGCGTACACAGACACCCCGCTGTGGGCCTCCACCCTGAAGGTGTAGTTCAGGTGTGGGTCCAGCTCGCTCACAGACACCCGGGTCACGCTCAGGCCGCTGCTGGACGGCTCGTAGCGGATCTTGTCTCCGCAGGGCTGGCAGACCAGGCCGTCGCAGAGCTGGCACTCCACGCTGTAGGTGATGTCAGAGCGCCCCCCGGTGTCCTCAGGGGGGGTCCAGGACAGCAGCAGCTTCCCGGCAGACAGCTGCGTGGTGCTGGCCACAAGGTTACGAGGCGCTGACGGGAGGCCTGGCCAGAGAGACATTACCAGAAGTCAGACCACAGTGCCACTTCACACCTCTCACACTTCAGCCCAGTCCAAGTAATACAGCTATAAACGACTGGCTAACAACGGCTAGCAAACAACGACTAGCTAACAACGACTAGCTCACAGAGACAGTAGCCGACTTGGTATTTATAGTGTGTACTTGATTTTACTTAAAGCTGATGTCATAAAGTTTTTCACTGCGGCTACTCTGCTAGTGCCCAAACTAAACGTGGGGAGTCAGATTTACATTTTCATGCCGCTGTTTGTCTTCCTGAAAATGTGAGACACCCGTCGACTCTGATAATGTTGAAATCCAGGTAAAATCTGGGCTTGTTCGAGGGCGGCACGGTGGCTGAGTGGATAGCACTCTCGCCTCTCAGCAAGAAGGTCCTAGGTTCGAATCCCGGTTTGACCAGGGCCTTTCTGAGTGGAGTTTGCATGTTCTCCCCGTGTCTGCGTAGGTTTCCTCCGGGTGCTCCGGTTTCCCCTACCACTAAAAATATGTACAACAGGTCTGGCATGTGCCTCCTGTACTGGCGACCCCCACTCCCAAAAATTATCAATTGTAAACCGCTTTGAGACTCCGATGTGCAGTGAAAAGGCGGTATATAAATAAAGATTACTACTACTACTTGTTCACACTAAAGAGTCCAAAAGTGTGAAAAAAGGCCAAAGATTAGATTTAATAATAATCAGATATATGATGTTGTTGTTGTGTCCAGTAGAAGAGTCTAGAACTAAAGTGTTTTATAAATGAGTCCAGTTTCCTAAAGTGTCTCTGATCCTTTGGATGAACTTTGTTACATATTTTCAGATCCACATTTTTTTGATGATTCATTTTTATATCAAATTATTTCCTGATGTTGTTCACGTGAATCTTGTGGGATTTAATCTGCTGCTTTTTCAGACTGAGGACATTTTATTTCCTGTGTCTCCGAGTCTCAGAATGATCCAACCAGAGGCTGATCTGGGTTTTTAAAATGTCGCCAAAAATGTATTTGTCTTTCCTTTGATTTTATCCACACTGTCTCTCTGATCTGTCTGTGTTTGAAGTTTGAGTTTGAGTCATAACCTTTTAAATTCTAGACACTTTAATTAATACTTTATTGTGACTCATTTCCACAATTTAAACATATTTTTTATTATTTTGTTGTTGTTGTTAAATGAATGAATGCACTTATTTTAGTTTTTTATTCATTTTTTTCTCGTTTCCTCGCCCTTGTTAATGAATTGTGCAATACAAATGAACTTGCCTTACGTAAAAATCACATGGTGGTAATAATTGCAGTGTATTATTTGCAGTTCACCTGAGCAGGGGTCCATGTCGGAGTCCGTGGGGGCCCTGTAGAAGCCCTCCACACAGGCGCAGGTCACCGCCCCTGTCCCTTCCTTGCGGGTGTTGGCGGGACAAGCCTGACACTGACCTCCTGCTGCAGTAGATTTGAAGAAACCCTGGAGACATTCTGTAAAAACAGGACATTTGCATGAGCGGGTGACAAACTTAAGAGCTCTATCCTCTGCTGTCTGGGTCAGGGGGAGATGCAGAGGGGGCCGCGGGAACACGTGACAGACTGTTGACTCTCACTACCACTCCTTCACGAACTTATCAACCCCTTAAAGCTGCTCCTGTCTGTCTCAACAAATACAACCAGTCGCTCAGCATTCCACAGCTCAGAGTCAGGCCTCAGAAAACACACTCCTGTCCTTCCACTTCTGCAGCTTTTGGCACCACACAAATGATCTTTAAAGAATATTCTGTGAGCGGGTAATGTCGGCAGGGTAATGATTTGGATTCATGTTTAACTGAGAGGCTCGTCTGTGGAATTATTGTTATAGTAGAGCTGTTAAAAGTGTTCAAATCAGGGAAAAACCTGAGATTTCTTCACTTTCACTTGTGATCCACACCCATCCAGAAGGCAATGAATGGGAGGGCTCAGATTTTATATAATTGTTAAGAATAAAAAGAGGATTTATACTAACTGTAAAGATTAATGTTCATGATGATTAATGGGATCAACTTGTCGCGGAAACAAAAAATCAATTACAACAAAAGAGGGACGTTTACAGTAGCATTAGTTTTAGGCCTCTCCTAAAATCGTGAATTAACCACTTAATTATTAGTGATGGCATTTTACTTCCCCTTTATTATTCCATTTCTGGGTTGGGGGTGGGTGGGGCAGGGGGGGGGCAATCAGCCAATCAGAGCTGCCACCCAAGTCTTAAAGAGCCAGTCCCTTTCTTATCCGGCCGCTGATGGTGGGTCAAGGATCTGTATTTACTTTAAGCAACTAAGATAAGATAAGATACTGCTTTATTGTCTCCCATAGGATTCACATGGGCTGGATAGCACTCTCACTTCTCAGCAAGAAGGTCCTGGGTTTGAATCCCGGTCGGAACAGGGCCTTTCTGAGTGGAGATTGCATATTCTCCCTGTGTCTGCGTGGCTTTTGTCCGGGTGCTGCGGTCATTCCCTACCACTAAAAACCTGTAAAATGGGTCTAGTGAGTGAGTGGATGGTGTTGGTTGGGGGTTTGATGCTCCAGTGTTGTCCGTGTGTGGAGAGATTAGAATCTTAATCATTGTCTGACCATGGTCTGTAAAAAAGCGCTATATAAATAACTTACATGCCTTACAAGACATACTGCAGACACCAGAGTCAGACACCCCACACTCCACTCTAGTACCAAATGGGCAAAACCTCTTGGCATTTGATTGGCACGCATTGTATTTGAAAGCTGCCTGGAGATAAAATACTCATTTGACAAACACTTTAAAGCTACTGTAGGAGTCCAATTGTGTAGCTTCTTAGATGTCACTTGATAACACACTTGTCGGCTTATTTTATTCTTTGGAAATTCAAGTCAAAACGAGACCAAAATAAAGTTGATGTCATTCTTTCCTCCCGCGGGCTGCATGTAGACTTCTGAAACTCTATCGCTGGGCTAAGACGGCACAGTAAGCTCACAGGCTCGGCCCAGAATAAAGAGGTGCAGGTAGTGTGTGCAGCTGTAAGAGGCCATGCTGAAATATGAACTTAATACGGTGTGAAATGTGTGTGAGAGCCGCCCCGCAGAGTGAGAATGAGCTTAAAGGGGGCCCCTCACATCCACACATGCAATACTCTGTTCAGTGCATATACAGACATGTCCCGGGACCACTTCAGACCCGCAGGGATTAGGACTCGGCCTGTCACCTGTTCACGTCTTTCTGCTGCCAAGACACGCCGCCCTCGCCACTAAACAGTCCAACACCAGCAGGAGAAAGTGGAAGTGTGAATGAGAGCTGCCTCCGTCCAAAAACGTGGCAAAGATAGAGTGAGAGGAACATGAAACAACGGCAAATATCTACAACCGGATATGCCTTTTTATTCAGAACTCAAATGCTTAAAATCCACGCTATGAAGTGATTCAAAGGCCTGTTTTACTTTACTACGCTCTCGTCAGGCTAAGCGCTTATATTTTTCCTAGCATGCTCTACCCACCATAGCCTGGTCTTACCACACCATAGTACTATTTTCATTTGGTACTAAGGTCTGGATTTGCTGCATTGACTCCGTGAACAGGTGGGAGGGGTTAACTCCTTTTGCAGATTGAAACCATTGGATCTGAGTTTACTGTGACGTATGTAATGAGCCCGAGTGAGTGAGGCATTTAGCATTTAGTTTAGCTTTTAGTTTAGCATTTAGCATTTGGTTTAGCTTTTAGTTTAGCATGTAGCCTAGCTTTAGCCATCTCCTTTGCCACTAACGGAACCCGTGGCGAGTAAAACCACAACATCTTTGCAAAAATTACATTTACTAAACATTCCTCTTGCTCCCTCTTCAGTTTCTTGATATTTGGATTGAACCAGAACAGATTATTTTACTATCGCATTCTCCGACAAACTACAATCAGCTAATTTGGTGCAAACTTCATTTTAACGAGTGCATTCAAAAGTCCACAGCGGCTAAACTAGACTGGTCCAAAAGAACGCCACCTCAGCATCAACAACATCTGGAACATAGTTTTGCGCCAAGAGCTACTTTTGGATCATCCTGTAAAGCCATTTTCCAGATTAAAGAAGACACCATACAAAAGCATTGGGTAATTCTCTTTCCGGGTACACCCCCACAGACAAGAAGCAAGATTGCAGCATCTCAGGGCTTTTGGAGCCGGGACCTGCCCCCACTGGTCCAGAATGCAACTACTCCTTGAAACATTCAGGAAAGGACAGAGATCGTCATAATCTTTTAAGAAAACATGGAATAGATCCTTAAAGCCACTGACCCTGGAACGACGTATCATGTACACATCTACACAGAGACACGCACAGCCAGGGAGAATCCATGTCACATCAAGTCAAAGACAAACAGTAGATTAGATGTCAGATTCCAGCGGCACAGCATAAAAAGCCGAGGGCGAGGAGCGGGGCCGATCATGTTCACCCACCGGCCCCGGAGTCGGTCTGTGGCCACAGTTGGAGACGATCCCAGAGGATTAGCAGAAGAGGAGAAAGAACCAGTCCGGGTCCCTGCGAAAAACTGTGTAATATCCAGTAACGCAATACATGATATCCCATTTCATGTCTGGGGAATTTCTCTACAATTACTGCTATAAAGCCTTTTTTTTTCTTTTTTTGTTGTGTTACCTCAATATTGTGTCAAAACTGGGAGCTGAAATCATAAAACACTGTACACATCTAACTCCGCCTCAAATTACGACCCCCACATTTCAGACACAGATGTGATTGATATGATGTTTTGCACCCTGAAGAAGGCCAAGGCCGATTTTAATCCACAGCCATGAGAAAATAAAGGCTTTTTAAACTTTTCTAAACTACTGACCACGGGCGCCTTGGATTTGTTTTGATTTTCTAAGTTCTTCACCATTTGCTTTTTACCTGGAAAGTCAAAACTCAATTTTTTGGTTACTAAGTTAAACCCCTCCTGGTCTTTTGAATAATTTGACACACTTGTACCACGTAGCCCTCCTTACCCTTTGCTTGTGACTTCTGTAATGAAAGATCAGTCTGTGAAATTATCATGGAGTGCTAAATGACTAGCTAACCTCAAGACTATAGCTTCTTGGATCCATTTGACTGAGGTATGTGGAATATGTAAGAGCTTCTGTGCGGACTCACAACTGGGATGTTTGAAAATAGTATCGGTTTAAAAGAATCAAAAGAATTGACACTTGGTCTTTTGTGGAATACAGCCCTTTTCATGACAGTACTGTGCTTCTATAAAGTAAACTGAACAAATGCATTTAGATTTTTATGTATGCATGCATTTTTGATTCTACTCTGTTTAAACTTGTTTGCACCGAGAGCCAAAGCAATTTCTTGGCTTTACTTCTTGTTACATGGCAATAACAGGATTCTGATTCTGCTAAATGAGATTATTCCTTCATAAAAATCCAATCCAATGGAAGGTGAAGAAGCAGCGTTGGTAAATAGCTCACATCTGTGTTCGATATAACATCAGGTCCCGTGTGTTAATGAGTTGTTGACAAGCTCACGTACTGCTATATTTCCAAAGGCCCAGGCCACAGTAGTGTCAGAAACAGCCATTCGTCACAATATCAGTCACACTTACACTGGCGTTCACCTCCGAGCAGAGAGCCAGCTGCTCTGCCCACAGCCGCTGCCACTCATTAACAGTCCCGGGACAGAGGTGGGGCCAGAGAACAGAGGTATACTGTATCCTGCCGAGGAAAGAGTGGAAAGACCATGGCCCCACTCCTTCACTGAGGAGGGGCGACAGCTGCCACCTCTTCCCCCGACTCCTACGCTGCTCCTGCCTGCTCCTGTCTGCTCCTACGCTGCTCCTGCCTGCTCCTACGCTGGTCCTGCCTGCTCCTACGCTGCTCCTGCCTGCTCCTACGCTGGTCCTGCCTGCTCCTACGCTGCTCCTGCCTGCTCCTGTCTGCTCCTACACTGCTCCTGTCTGCTCCTACACTGCTCCTGTCTGCTCCTACACTGCTCCTGTCTGCTCCTACACTGCTCCTGTCTGCTCCTACACTGCTCCTGTCTGCTCCTACGCTGCTCCTGCCTGCCCCTATGACGCTCCCATGCTGTTCCTACGCTACTCCTGGTGTTCCTACGCTACTCCTGGTGCTCCTACGCTACTCCTGGTGCTCCTGTCTGCTCCTACGCTGCTCCTGCCTGCCCCTACGATGCTCCCATGCTGTTCCTGCGCTACTCCTGTCTGCTCCTACGCTGCTCCTGCCTGCCCCTATGATGCCTCTATGCTGCTCCTGCCTTTCCCTGTCTGCTCTTGCCTGCTCCTACGCTACTCCTGCCTGCTCCTATGCTGCTCCTGCCTGTTCCTATAGGCAAGGCAAGGCAAGGCAAGTTTATTTGTATAGCACAATTCATACACAAGGCAACTCAAAGTGCTGAACAAGATAGCATTAAAATCATAAATAATTACAGAACATTAAAACGAAAGATAAAAATATAAAATCCCTCAGTTGTATGCACAGCTAAACAGCACCGTTTTTAACCTGGTTTTAAACATTGTCAGAGAGGAGGCCTGTCTCACATCTTCAGGAAGATTGTTCCAGATTTTAGCAGCATGAATCTGAAAAGCAGCCTCCCCATGTTTAGTTCTGACTCTGGGCACTAACAGGAGTCCAGTCCCTGTGCTCCTCAGAGTCCGGGCTGGTTCATATGGGACTAACATGTCACTAATATATTTTGGTGCGAGGCCATGGAGAGATTTGTACACAAGCAGAGCTGTTTTAAAGTCTATTCTCTGAGCCACAGGAAGCCAGTGCAGAGACCTGAGGACTGGACTAATGTGGTCGTACTTCCTGGTTCTAGTCAGGACTCGAGCTGCTGCATTTTGAATGTACTGCAGCTGTTTTACAGCCTGTTTGGACAGACCTGTGAGCAGGCCATTGCAGTAGTCTAACCTACTGGAGACAAATGCATGGATAAGAATCTCCAAGTCTGCTTTAGACACTATGTTTTTGATCCTGGCAATGTTTTTTAGATGGTAAAAAGCTGCTGATGTTACTGATTTGATGTGGCTATTAAAATTTAAGTCTGAGTCCAGTATTACCCCTAGATTTCTGACCTTGTTAGAAGGTTTTAGGGAGAGAGACTGTAGGTGACAGATGACGCTCTCTCTTTGTTTCTGGGGACCAAAGACAATCATTTCAGTTTTGTCTGCGTTTAGCTGAAGGAAGTTGTTTTGCATCCACTCACTGATCTGTTGGATACAGTGAAGGAGTGAGTCCACTGGTCCATGTTCTCCTGCAGTCAGTGAGACATAGATCTGAGTGTCGTCTGCATAGTTATGATAGGAAACTTTGTTTCTGCGTATTAACTGACCTAACGGCAGCATGTAGAGATTGAACAGAAGAGGTCCCAGGATCGACCCCTGTGGTACTCCACAGGTCAGGGCCATATGATCTGAGACACAGTTTCCAATCTCCACAAAGTACTTCCTGTCTTCAAGGTAAGACCTAAACCAACTTAGGGCGGTGCCAGCGACGCCAACCCAGTCCTCTAGTCTCTGTAAGAGGATCTCATGGTCGACAGTATCAAAGGCAGCACTTAGATCTAACAGGATTAGGATTGAGACTTTGCCTGCGTCAGTGTTCAGCCGGATATCGTTTGTAACCTTAACGAGAGCAGTCTCAGTGCTGTGGTGGGGTCTAAAGCCGGACTGAAACATATCAAATGAGTTGTTGATTATAAGAAATCTAGTAAGCTGTAGGTAGACAACTTTCTCAAGGACTTTCCCCATAAATGGCAGATTTGAGATGGGACGATAGTTGTTAAGTACCGTAGCATCCAGACTGCTCTTTTTTAGCAGGGGCCTGATGACTGCAGTTTTCAGGGCCTTTGGGAATATTCCAGAATCAAGGGACATGTTTACTATCTGTGTGAGTGAAGGTAACAGACTGCTCAGAACAGACTTTAGAAATCTAGTGGGTAGTACATCCAGGCTGCATGTGGAGGAGCTCAAACTGGAGATTATCTCTTGGACAGTTTGATCATTTACAGGTGCAAAGTAAGTTAGCTCAAAGAGCCTTTCTGGCTGTTGGATTGTTATCTGTGGATTGGAGACAATGGCGTTTTTGATGCCTTGAACCTTGTCATTGAAAAAATGTGCAAACTCATTACATTTACGTTTGGAAGTTAGCTCTAATGGCATTTGAACAGGGGGGTTTGTTAATCTATTAACTGTTGAAAACAGAACACGCAGATTGTTGCTGCAGCCTTCAATCATTTCAGAAAAATACCTTTCTCTTGTACTACGTAGCACCTGGTTAAACTCGCACAACTTATCTTTGAAGATCTTGTAATCAACCTGGAGGTTGGACTTGCGCCACTTCCGCTCGGCCCTCCGGCACTCTCTCTTTTGTGCTCTGACCGAGTCTGCTTTAGCCCACGGCGCCTTCTGCTTATTTTTCACTATTTTAACCTTCACAGGAGCGATGGTGTCCAGAACTTTCAAAACACTAGAGGTGACAGAGTTAAACAGTTCATCTACAGTAGAATACGATGCATTCTCAAAGTTTATCATTCCCATAAATAGTTCACCCGTATTTTCATTTATGTGTCTTCTTCGTACAGTTGCAGAGTCCACTGGTGGTTTGTTAGTGAAACACATGTCAAAAAATATACAAAAATGATCCGAAAGCGCAACATCGACCACGTTTACATTATATATGTTCGCCCCCTTTGTAACTAACAGGTCTAGAGTGTGCCCTTTGCTGTGGGTGGGGCCACTCACATGCTGAGTGAGACCAAAAGATTCAAGAAGAGAACTCAGCTCTTTAGCATTTCTGTCATCAACATTATCCACATGAATATTAAAATCACCTGTAATAACTAAACTATCAAAATCTGTGCATACAACTGAAAGCAACTCTGTAAAATTATCAATAAAACTGTGACATGACTGCGGTGGCTTGTATAGGACAACGAAAAGTATTGGAGGAGATTGTTTTTGTTGTATTTTAAAAGACACATATTCAAAAGACGGAAACTTCCCAAGAGACATTCTATGGGAGACAAAGTGGTCTCTGAAAATGGCAGCTAAGCCTCCTCCTTTTTTGTTTTCCCGTATTTCAGATTCAAATTTGAAATTTGGTGGTGATGCTTCTATTAAAACTGCATTTTCTGTATTTTGGTCAAGCCATGTTTCAGCCATGAACATAAGATCTAGATTATAAGAACAAATAAAATTATTGATTAAAAAAGACTTGTTACAAAGAGATCTGACATTTAGCATAGCAAGTTTCAAAGTTTCAGGATCAGCGGTTGTGGTCGGCTGATTCTTACACGGAACAAGAATTAGATTTTCCTGATTAGACTGATTAACTCCAGATGTTTTTCTGTTATGTATTCTTTGTGTTATCACTAAGGGAATGGCACAGGTGGCTTCACGACAGGGCCCCAGCCGGGTCTCTCCTCTAACTAGACTGCCAGTGGCTGCGAAGCAGAGACCCTGTGCATCCTAGTGTTTAGAGAAAAGAGGGGTAGGGGAAGGCGGGGGAGGAGGATGGAGAGGCGGGTGGTTCTTGGGAGTTGGACGGGGAGGGGTTGAAGGTGGATGGGTTTTTGGTGATGGGTTAGGGGAGGGGCAGGCTGAGTTGGGTGGTGGACGAGGGGGGAGTGGAGGTGGAGGGTTTCTTGGTGCTGAGTTAGGGGGGGGGAGGGGGGCTAAATGAGCAGGAGGGGGGGGTGGAATACTTATGGGGTTAGAGGAGGGACGGGTGGATTTTGTGGGAGAATTTGAGTTGGACGCCCTAGGTGGCTTTGGAGGTACGTATGGGGAGTAGTTTTGAATGTTAGATAGGACTCTTGATCTGGCTACAGTGGGTGTGAGAGGAATAGTCTTCATCGCCGATCTTATCATGCCTGCAGAGTGTTCTGGTAAATCCAGTAGTGAAGGCGGGGATAGAAAACAAAGGGAAAGGTCGTCCTCATTTTCCCTAGATGGAGTGGATGTAGCGGGGGGGACCCAAGCCGGGTCCATGGAAGGTGATGAGGGAGTCTTTGGTGGAGACAGAGGTGGTTGAGGAACCCCCAGTACAGGCCTGACTGTAGCCTGGAGTAATGGGGGAAGCTTCACGGGAGCTGTAGGTGGGGAAGGTGCTGCTGAAGATGATGGAGCAGCCACTGCTGCTGCTGTATCCACTGCTGCTGCTGAAGATGATGGAGCAGCCACTGCTGCTGCTGAAGATGATGGAGCAGCCACTGCTGCGGCTGTATCCACTGCTGCTGCTGAAGATGATGGAGCAGCCACTGCTGCTGCTGTATCCACTGCTGCTGCTGAAGATGATGGAGCAGCCACTGCTGCGGCTGTATCCACTGCTGCTGGTGGTGCTGTATATGCTGATGGCGCTGATGAAGATGTGGCAGCTGCTGATGATGCTGGGGGTGGAGGCGTTGAGCTCTTTCGAAGCCGTGGAGGTGTTGAGTTCTTTTGGAACCTTGGAGGTGTTGAGTTCTTCTTGAATCGTGGAGGTGTGGAGTTCTTTTGAGGCGGTGGGGGTGCAGAGACCTCGGGAGTCGGTGGAGATGGTAGTGATGTCTGTGCCCTTTGCTTCTTCTTTCTCCCTTTCAACGGCTGCACGCGCTGCGCAGGCTGAGGTCTTAGGGCAGATGCAAAGTTATCCATCAGCACTTTTACTCCGTAGTTGTTCAGATGTGGGCCTTTTTCTTCAAAAAGCTCGTGCCTATTCCAGAACAGATTAAAGTTTTCAATGAAGCCAAGTCCTCTGCGTGAACACTCATTGAGTAGAAATGTATTTAGCTGATACAGACGGCTAAACTTCTCCATTTTTCCATCTATATTTGGCAGTGGGGCACTAAGAAAAATTGTTATGTCCATTTTCTTGAGGTCATCCAGTAACAGCGTTAAATCCATTCGTAACTTCTCGCTTGCCTTCTCATAGATATCTACCGCCCCCGTGTGGATCAATAATGTACGCACACCACTGTTCTCAGATAACACTTTAGGCAGAAGAGTTCTTATCTCAGCAACTTTAGCAGAGGGAACTGAGACAGTGAGCATGGACTCCATGTTTACATTTTTCACCGAGCCATCTCCGATAAGGATACAGTTTGTCCTTGGTGGAGGCGCTGCAGTTTTTAGCAGCTTTGTTGTTTCAGAAAGGGGTAAAAAGCGGTTTGAAGTCTTCAGAACATTTAGTTGTGGCCTTATTTCACTCCTATTGTCATTCTTAGCTTTGTCAACTTTGGGTTTGGCTCCACAATTGTTCCAATAATTCTCATTGTTGATTTTGGGAAAAGAAATGACGTCATAACTTACATTTCCAGTCTGTCCATTCATCCCATTTTCACTCATTGG